CTTCTTATCTAACTTGGATACTGAAAAATATAAGTATTTACCAACTTATCATGAAATACCAGACTGCACAATTTTTAAGATACTAAATTTAATATTTCAAAGTACCTTATTTTCACAACTATACTGTGCTTAGTAAAAATGGTGACTTTTAACATGCAGCAGATCAATGGCTTTGTTTTACCACACACTCACATTTAATTAATCTGCAAATGTTCTCACGTGTCTATGTTTTCCTATAGTTTTCATGTAAGTAATGTGGATCGAAAAAAGAAAGACAAATTACAAGTTAGTTAGAGTTTATCAAGCAATAACTATCATGGAATTATCACATTAGTAGTGTTTGGGAATTTGGGGTATTGTTTTATTTTGTATGTAAATACCTTTGTTTTGCATGATTTCATTTTAAATGTTTACTACTCATTGTTACATGTTATTATTATTCTGTTAAACTTTCAATGAAATGCTTCAGATAAAATTTAAAAAGGAACAGAATATATGAAACTAACTGATATTAAATGATATGCAAAGCATGAATTTTCATATAGTCTTTAATGTAGTCTTATAGTTCTGTGTATTTATTGACCCACCTGCATGTAACTTTAGGAGCATATTCTGTTCTTTACTTACGTGGTAAGTTAGGTCAAAACAGCATATCAAATTTGAAAATAATCTACAGGGCAAAACTTTATTTGAATAAAAAAAAACTTCAAGTTAATTTTGACATGAGTTTTATTTTTGTACATTTTCTAAGTGATAGATTAATATTAAAGGCACATGTGTAGCCTCTTTCAGATATATTGCTTGAATTAAAAGAAAGTTTCAAAATTTAATTTTCTTAAAATACAATAAAATTCATTTTTAATATAGTATGCAATATTAAATAAATTTGACAATTTGCATGTGTAACATGTCATTTTTCCATTACCATGAGTTTCAATATGACCAAGTTATGATTTATAGAGGCATGTTTTTATGTAAATCATTTCATTTTATTTTTGTTATATTGGAAAATATTTTGTTAAATATATTTCAGATACATTTTTATATTGTAAAAATCTTATTTAAAATTATATATCAAGTAATTTAATGACAGATTAATCTAATTGTGATAAATTATATTGTGTATACATGATTTGATATCAAATGAAGTATGAATTTTCTGAATGTACATTTTCTTCTTTTAATTTGAGTTTTATGTCTTGTGTGCATTTAACTGTGTTTTCAAAGACAATGTTTACATAATTGTGTCTCATACTTCATTTTAAAAAGTAAAATATCTTATTTTAATTTTGGGTAAACTATATTATATGTTTAAACTGGATTTGTTGCTCTACATAATTCTCAGGCTTTTTCCAATCTAGGCAATTCCCTCATAAAAGTTATTTATGCTAAATTTTTGTGGTTTTTAACATGTTAAATGATGAAATAATAAAATGTGTTGATTCAAAAATCTGTTTCAAAAACTGAGCATTCTAAATTGATTTACATTTTAAATAAAATGATTATACATATGCATTATATGCGTTATACATATTATATATTTGTATGATGTTGTACCATTTATTGTCTTACAAAAGAAGTAGATATTATTCCTTTATAATTCCACTACAGGTACAAAACTTATATGTACAAAACTATATACATATACACTATATGTGCCAAATTTATCTACTTAAAAGTAGATGAAATTCTACTTTTTTGGTAACATAAAATCATATGTATGTATTATATTACCTATGTAAATAAATGTAGTTCACATCAGTACAGTAAACTCTCATATCTGGAAGTCACAAAAGCACAGTCCAAGTGCTTCTTATTTAGGCCACCAAAATCTCAAGTCCACACTTTTTCTAAAGGAAGTTTTTGAAAATTAAAATCAAGCTTAATGATTTCTTCCTCATTCTTTGACTATTTCTTTCACTTACGTCAGTGTTTGAAACGTGACTACTATAACCATGTGTCATATTTTACCTTCATAATTATTATTATGATTTTAGGCTCATTATTAAATTTATTCATTCTTTATACTTTCTTTTGAGGAATGTTTCTGGAACATCTGTTTTATGTCAGGTACTTCTCTAGACACTCACTGTACTAGGGATTCAGCAATAAATAATATACAAATGTCTTTGTACAAAATATAAAATGCCTAAAACTCTAGGAGCTTCCCTTGTAATATAGGGAAAGAGACCGTGAAAACGTCACACATTAAAACATAAGAACTCATTATTAAAATGCATATCCAATTAGATTATGGTTATTGAAAAGAGTTTTCCGATATTTTACCTTAACATTAAAACGTATTCTGAATTCAGGGTATGGAAATAGTGGAGAGTTACTACCTTCACTGCTGGGAGTTACAGTTCTAGTGCTGAAGATTTTACGACTGGGTTTGGTAGAAACTCTGAGCTGAAATGGTGCTTAGCATCAGTTTTAACTTTCAGCGTTTGGTCTAGAATTTTATTTACCCATTGGGATCCTCTGGAAGTCAAGTGTTTGGAATTTGTCTGCAGATTTTGGGTGAATTCTTACAGAAGCAGTCTAAACTGATACCTAGGAATTATTAAAGAACTATTTACTCAATTGCAAGAAAATTTTCTTTTCAGAATAGCCATAATGAGTCTACGGTGAAATGTGAAAATTCAGTTAAAGATGGAAATACTCATATTGGAAACAGAATAGAAATTCCATAGCTTCTCCTACTATTTGCATACAGTTAGCAATACAAGTTTCTGGTTAAATGACTGTCTTCTCTCCTTAAAATCTAGATTTTTATGTTTAATTTCTAACTTTTTTGTGGTACTGGGGATTAAACCTAGATCTTTTGCACTGAGCTACATCCTCAGTTCAATTTTTTTCTTAATTTTGACAAAAGGTTTCACTGAATTCCTAAATTAGCCTGAGTGGGCTCAAATTTCCAATTCTCTTGACTAAGTGTTCAAGAGAGTCCTGGGATTAGAGGTGTGTGGATTCACACCAGGTTGGTTTCCTTCTTTAACTGTTAGAAATCTGGCAATTTTGGTGAAGTTATAAATAACTTTAAGATATTAGTTTTTCATCCCACTTCCCTATGTCTTTTCAAAATCAGAATGCTCAGTTAAATTCCTTGCACAGTAATATAAACCTGTTTTTGTAATACCTTATGAATATAACAAAAATAGTGATAACAGACCAATTAAAGTATGATTATTTTGTAAGCAGTTATTTATCAATCATATGATTAAATAAAATTCATTCAATATTATTTTAGTAAATAGTACAGGCTGATTTGTATAACCATCATGATTTTAATTGATCACAACGCATAGCTTTTTCAGATTAATGACATAATATATTAAAATATTTAGGACAATCTGATGATTTTTATACTTCAATTACATCTGAATTCCTTAAAGTTTAACCAACATTTAAATCATTTTTAGAACTTTATCAAAACCAGACAATACATGAAAATCTAGGCTCAAATAAATTATTAGCAAAGATGCATTCTTTTCATTCCTATACATGATGCTTGATTTTCTTTCTTTCTTTTTGACTTTAAGACAAAAAAAAAAAAAGAATTACTAGGCCTACTAATTCCCTGTTTATTGTGCAAGACAAAAACAAAAACATAGCATCCCACAAGCATACTAAATGATTACACTGTTTTCCTGTTTCATAATGGCTGAAACATCCCTACATCTGTCTAAAATACTTAGACATTTTACACAGAATTTTGAATATTGAGAACAAACGAAAAACACACACTGCACATTTACTTTTAAAAATATCCAGAATTATTTTTAACTGCGACCTGACTATGATTTCTAATTAGTAAAGTAGCTTTAAAATTCATAATTTTTATCTTGTTAACATTTTAGGTGGCAAGGTCACTTTAAGTATATACTCTTTCTTTTTTGTGTATCTATTACTGTAAGAGTAGTATTACAAAAGAACCATGCACTACGAGGGAAAGTCTTTTCCAAATAAAAATGAAAAGAAAACTAAAATCATAACTTGTATAGTGAAAATACTTGTCCTTTTGCTTTGTTTGCCCTGCTGGGGATCAAATCCAAGCATCCTAGGTGAATGCTTTATCTTAAAGTTTACTACAGACCCTTCAACATGTTTTCAAACTGCTATGAAACTCTAACACAGAAAAAAAATTGGATATCATGTATAATTATAGTATGCATGAAAATAGGCACACATCATGAAATATTTAAAATGTTTTTGGAAATTCCCAATCATTACATAACACTATTTTTGTATGAATAAAAGTCTCATATTGGCGGGTAGTTCCAAGCACTTTTAAATTAAATAATGTAATTTTAATTAGTTTGACATGGATTAAAGTTTTATTTAAAATACTTAAAAACATTAATTTCAGAGAATATATTAAATTTAAAAGTATGTATTGCTAATGACACTTAAAATTTTACTACGTTGAATGCTTTTTGTCAAATAAGGTTATGATAAATATTTACATGTAGTAATTTCAGTCTGATTTTTTCATCATTTTGTTTTCATTTTCCATTTGGTTTTAAATTTTAAGTTCTTTACTTGCTTGTCTTAAAATAGATCTTTAAAAATATTTTTCCCAGCAAGTATGAAGAGATATGACACAAATTATTCAAAACATACTTTTGAGAAAAGTGTGGTAATATAGTTATATATTCCATCAAAACTTGCAGATTGCCAGGCATATGTTGCTAAAATTCGTGTCTAGTTTAAAAGAATATGGTTCAGGACTACATAAAGAGTCTCATCTCTCACTCCCTCCCAATATATTTTAGTGATAATGTGCTGGTTTGTGTGTAGTATCTACCTATAGGCTGATAGATACAAACAGTCCTACAGAGTGGGTATGCTTCACACTTTAGCTCAAGTGTTTGTGTGTTGCCTCTTCATGTTGGTTATCCTTAAGGTAATAGAAGAAAAACTAATAATTTATTAAAGTTATCAGAAAAAAACCAAAATTTAAAGAAAAAGTTAGCATGTAGTGCTACTGTGTCCCACAGGTTCTTCTACATTGACCCACACAACCTCCACTGGTGAGTTAGAGGAGCATAACAGGACTACCACTGGTGCTATTGCTGTTGCTAGCACACCTGCAGATGTTACTGTATCCAGTGTTACAGCTGTCACCATCCATAGACTTTCCGAGGAACAGCGAGTGCAAGTTACGAATCTCAGAAATTCAGGTCCGGACCCCAACACATCCAAGGACGGGCTCCCTCCTCATCAAGCAGATATACAAAGTACAAGGAGAAGACCACGAAATGCTGAACAGATAGAAAGAACTAAAGAACTTGCAGTTGTTACTCATAGAGGTATTGGATGTTATTTTACTTGTCCCCATTTAGTTACAGCAAAGGTATCTTTTCGTTGTGATTCTAATTAGTTAATGAACTGAAACAGAGCCAAGATGTAGACAAAATAGCTGAAAAAATAGAGATAGAAACAGCCAGAACTTGAATAATTTGAAAGCACAGAAAATAAAATTAAAACAAAAAGCAAAGTGGACTGCAAATGTTGGAAGGGGAGGGGGTTAGAATACAAAGAAAAAATGCAGTCAAATGGTGGTACAGACTAGTACTAAATATTTCTTGTTATGTACCGGTCATGATGTCGAACTAGACCCAGAAAATAAAGTAGCCAGTTTCTGTTTTTATGTGTACACAGACATGACTGGTCTCGTATAGCAATTTTCAGTGTTTTCATAATTTTTTTATATTATATGAATGCCAACACTTGAGAAAATAGAAGCTTTGGTTGGACAAATGGAAACATGTCTAGTGATTGTATCATATAGGTTAGTGTTTTATTTCTTAAGTTACATCTTGCCTGAATCATGATTGTACTTATAGTAGATTGCTCATGTTGAAAAGGTAACAACTGTTGATTGGTATTATGGCCCCCGTGTTAAGTATTCCTTAAATTTTTAATTTATTTAAGAGAAAAAGTGCCAACAAACTAAATCGTATAGATTAGTGTAAATTAATAATAGATTTATGTAAATCTATCTTTTATAAAATGAAGTAGCAGACACTTTTTTAAATTTCTTGATAACTGACTACACTCAACCATTTAGGAAAAATTCATTGTAGTGTTGAATGGAAGTTCATTCATATCAATAGATACAGCATTGGAAACTTTAATATACTGAACACTTTTCAAATATAAACTATCGACACCATTTCCAACTCATCACCACGTAGCTTCAAAACTGGTTATAATTCATGTAGTATGCAGTCATATAGAGACCATGACATAAGTAATAAAAAGTCATTCCATCCCGAGCACAGAAAGAGACAGATCAGGACATTTTTATTACAGTGAGTTGAAATCCATAGAAAAATATCCTGAAAGCTAATTTTCCTTAGAATTTATAGTGAAATTATTTACTTTGATGCTCTAATTGCGCATATTTATTTATTTATTTATTCATGGTACTGGGAATCAAACTCAGGACCTTGTGTTTGTCAGGCAGGGTGTTATGCCACTGAGCTATGTCCCCGGCACTTACAAATGTCCTGAAATAAATTTTTAGGACACTTACAGGTTAAATTTCCACCTCTGATTCTGTCAATATTTACTTTTTTATTATAAAATATTACCACTCAGAAAAACATCGGGAATATGTTGAAAGCTGTAACATTTAAATAAATAGACAGTTTCTTACTACTAGGAATTATAGATAAATTTTTATTAAAATATTATGAAAAAGTGTATTTTCTACTTTTTTTGGAAAAAAAAAATTTTAGCTAACTAAAATTAAACAAAGATCCCAAAGTTGTCATTTCTAGAAATAGGGTAATTTATTATACAAATTTTACTGCCAAATACTATCATACAAATACTACTCAAAGTTTGTTGTCATTTTTTGAGAGAAGGCTCGTTCTTCCAAATTAACGTTTTGTAGAACATGAAACAATAATCAGGTTGAGAAAGATAAAAGTGATGAATTGTTAGTTTAAGTAAAGTGATTTGAAAACAATGCCATGTAAGATTTTTAACCATATGCATGCAATTTTCAATTAAATGTCTCCAGTGTTTTCTTCATAGATTCCAAATCAGTGCTTACATTTTCTCAGTTTCGCTCATAACCTTCAATGCAATTTAAGAACCAATATGTTTTTAACATTTCTCCATACTATTTCTAAAGTAGTAAAACATTTATTCAGTGGTCCCATCTCCATCCCATATAGAAACCCTTCTCTTGTTTAAATTAAATGTAAAGTATTGTGTGTAAAACATTTTAAGTGGTGTGGCTCATCATTATTCTTAGTCCCTTAAATCATTATACTTTTTTGAAATAACTAATTAACATTTTTGTTTCCCCTAGTAACTGATGACTCAAGAATTTCATTTATTTACTTATCTATTATGCTTTCCAGAAAAAAATATTAACATAACAGCTCTCCAAAACAGACAACCCCTCAAATGTCAATGTTAAGAGTAAAGGAAATTTGTCTTGCGTGTATTGCTTTAAGTTTATAAAAGCCCTTTAAATGTCGCTATATTTTCATATGTAAAACAATCATCAAATTTTTATTTTAGCAGACCAGAATAACTAAGTTAGTACTGACCAACATCAAAGCTGTGATCTTTAAAGAGAAAATTAATTCTAGTTCTCATAACATATAGAAAGTGCTTACTGCATATCATGCTATGTTCTAACAGAAATAAAGATAAACAATACACAAAACTTTCCTTCAAGAGATGGAAACACAGTGAAGAACATGAAGACCACCATATGTGACTAAAGGAGATTTTTATAAAACCCATAACTAATCAGAATCCTAAAAGAGTGATAGGGTTTATCCAAAACTGAGCTATTTATGTTACATGGTACATAATGATCAGTAAGCATGATCCAAAACACATTTCTTAATGTTTTCTATACATTGTAGAAAACAAATAATTTTTATTCCTCTCACTCTTCATAGCATATTTAGAATAATCAATTTTTTAAAAATTATATATCAGTAGACATTCTGAAGTTTCCAATGATTTCTACGTGAGTTTAGGAATAAAGCCAAAATTTGGTGCTCATTTAGGAACCTGCAGGTCCTACAGTTTCCATAACCACTTTTAATTCTTTCTCTTGGCTTAATAATTGCTTTTAATTTGTCAAGCACACTATATTCTTCTCTAATTTGAGTCATTCTCATGAATCATTCACTCTTGATTTCAAAATGATCCTTGTAATTCCCTCTTTAGGGTTAAATTTTTACCTCTGAAAGATCAGATCTTCCATTAATGGAAGGGTATTTATCTTCCATAAATTCCACTTTATCCTGAACTTTCCTTGGCTTGTAATTATCAGAACTATGATTTTTCCTATACATCTTATATTCTCAGAGCATAAGTTGGCCAGGCCAGGTTGGAGATCCTTCATTTGGTATTCACAGTGCCTAATACAGGTTCTGACCCACAGATGTATGTAGAAAGTATGTGTGAAAATTAAAAAGAAATATTAACAAATGTAAGTACTAGAAAACCCACTGAAGGTTTGAAATGACCTTCTTTAGTATAATAAAATGCCTATATATTTCAGTATTAAAGATAACTATGTTTCGTCAAGGCTCACCAGTGCATTTTTAAATAGTTTATCAAAGGCCAAAATGTTCTCATGAAATAATGTTACTTTTATTATTTTATCTTTTTAAAACTTGAAACCTAATATAAATCCCTTGCTTATAGCTTTTGTGCATCTTAAAGTAAAATTGATAATTAAACATAAATAAACTGTAGTCAATACATTCCATAGTTACAAACAGTAATGTAATAGATGTTATTTTGCTTAAGATAATTACTATCTAAACCACAAATATGAAAGATTAAGGTAATATTCCCTCCATTGACATTTGACACCCATGCAGTTTTTCACTCTGTGATCATTTAGTATTTTTAACTTTTTCCCAGTCGTATTGCAAATAAACTTTCATTTTTATAATGCCTTTGATTGTTATTAGTTCCTAATTCATCTATTTTTATAACCTGAGGCAATTTTAGTGTTTATACTTGATATCAGAACTATTATGAAGATAGAATAAAGAAGGAACTGAAATTACATACCACATTTGGTACTTTATATCCCTGTGTGTTTATTCAGACTTGTGTGAATTTATGCTAAATTAGGCCTTAATATCACTCTATTCTGCAAAAGTAACATCTTTGAAATTAATACATAATTTTTAAAACTCGGAATAGTTTCAAAGATCTTTACACTTTTCTATAGGTATTATTCCAATTGTCTTATTTTACTGTACTTAAAAATCAGTAATTACATTTAAACAATCTTAAAAATTTCATTTTTTACTTGTTCTCAGTTATAGAAATACATTTCTAATTCTTTCCACTTGAGAAGATTTTAGGACATTGTGATAAAAAGAAGTAAATGAATAATACTAATAAAAGTTTCTTTAGATGCTCTTGAAACTATGTGTTGATAGTACACATGCTACAAATGTCTGTAGTTCTCAAAATGAGAATTGTGTGTTTATTGACTGGACTTTCGCACCTGTCATATGTGAGAGCTTGTTTATGTCACATGAACAGAATTCAATCCCATATTAGAGCTCAGTTTTCATAACTAGAGTATGATAGTGCTACATTAGGACTACTAGGAGGATTAAATGTAAAGACAGCAGTGCTGAAAATCTCAGGTGTTTGCTTTCCATGGATACTTAGCTCTCCACTATCAACACTGGGGTTTGCAGTCCTAACAAGAGGGTAAGTGTATGGTTTTCTTCTTGTTAACTTTAAGGCCTGGAGAAATAAGTTTAGTAGACAAACCACAACCAAGTAACTGGGAATGGCTGCTTCAAAGGGCCTCATGTAAGATTAACACACTTGTGAATGTAGAATTCAAGACATACTAAGTAGTCTGTGCCATAGACTGACATGCCTTCCTAATAAAGGAAAAATTAAAATGTATACTAAGAAACAGAGCTATAAAAATTGTCGTCAAATGTTGCTGAAATACAGTGTAGAGACTGACGAATTCTGAATGGAAAAATCATGAAGACTGCACAGAGAAAATCTGAACTAATTATTGAAGGAAGAATAAAACATTGAAAGTAGTAAATTATGTTTGTATTACTAAGAGCCACACAAAATGTTTTGCATGAGTATTTTTACTGATTAGAAATTTGAAGTTATAGTCAAATGATGAAAGTGTTTAAATATGTTTGGCATATTTGAAAAATGACATGAATATTAATATAATTTTAAAGTTTAATATAATTTTAAAGTTGATTTTTTTCATACAAAAATATTCAGATGTTTAAAGTTAGACAAAATATATAATAATATATTAAAGTTC